CCTGTGCTTTTTTCTTCCTCAAGGCTTTTTTTCCTCCTCTCAGCTGATCATTGGAGTTTTTTTTTTTTTACTACCAATTCGACTGGTAGCAATGTTTGCTACTGGTTCAGCCAAACCGAGCCGAACCAGTAGCATACCAACACTATCCCCTACTCTAATTCAGGGGTCTCTAACCTTGGCAGCTCTGAGACCTGTGGACTTCAACTCCCAGAGTTCCTCAGCCAGCTTTGCTTTGCTGAACTTTGCTGGCTGAGGAATTCTGGGAGTTGAAGTCCATAGGTCTTAAAGCTGCCAAGGTTGGAGACCCCTGCTCTAATTGATGCTTCTGTGTCTGCAATCTTTTCTTCAACTCCTTTCAGCTGGGCCCTGTGACTACTATACAGATTATGTGGCTACCAGGTGGTATCGTTCTCCTGAGCTCCTTGTAGGTGATACTCAATATGGCCCTCCTGTAGATGTCTGGGCTATAGGCTGCGTCTTCGCTGAACTTCTTTCTGGCATCCCTCTCTGGCCTGGAAAGTCTGATGTGGATCAACTTTACTTAATCAGGAGGACATTAGGTAAGCGAAGGTTACTGAGAAACTCTTAAGTTGTCTGTTGTTTCTTACCTCCTACTCACCTCCCATCCCCAACCTCTGGGGTGTCCATGTGAAATTTGACTGTCTCCTGTGTAAACACCCTGGAGAAGCATGACATGTGTTGCATTGAGTTTGCAGGGGACTATTTTGTTAATTGAAGTCAATTTTTGTATACGTTCATCAACTTTCTTCATCATGATATTTGGGAGAGGGGGGAATAAAACAGACTATTTAAGGCATCCTTATTGCCCTCCCCCATCTAGGGTGGTTTACATTTAAGTAACCTTTAGCAACCCGAGAGAAAAGCAAAGCCAAAATCCAGCCCATTTTAAAGTGGAGGGGGGGGGGTGTCAGCAAATTTGAAGAAAAGACTTTTTTTTTTTTTGCCAGTGCTAGGGACGAGTGTTTGGCTGGTTACCTAGGCACCCATGTTTCTGAGTCAAGCCATTCTTCTCTCCCATCTGCTTCTGTTGCAAACCTCACACAGGGGAAGGCCTTGGTGATGCAAATGTTTAAACTGACTGCACTCTTTGATTCTTGTTCAAAGGTGATCTCATTCCCAGGCATCAGCAAGTCTTCAGCACAAACCAGTTCTTCAGTGGGGTGAGGATACCCGATCCAGAAAGCATGGTGAGAGCTGCCTCAGTGATCTTATACAAGCACAGCACAGTATCACCACTGGACCTGACTTATCAGGGTGGCAAAAGTGTGGATGACCAACAGATGCCAGCAGACAGAGAGAGAGAAAAAAAAAACTGTAGCTGGCAGCTTGGACACAATGCCCTGAGAAAACAGAGCTAGCTTGCAAGTGTTTTTTCCTCTTTTCAGTGCAAGAAGCGGTGTTTTTTGAAGAACCAGAAAATACTGCTTTTACAGATTAGCTATTTAGGGACCCAGAACATTGCTTGGTTACCAATTGTTGCCTAAAAAGAATGGTTCACTCTTGGATGTGATTCTAGAGAGACATGTAACTAGGTGCAGTTTGGAGATCAACACCCAAATTGGTTTCAGAAGGGCGGGGGGGAAGGATTGCTATTGGAAACTGAAAAAAAAAGCTGCAGACTGCAGGACTTGTGATAAAAAGCTGCAAAGCAGGAGAGCCAATTTATTTAATTCTCTCATCTGTCCTGGGAACCATTCCCTTAAAAGAAAAATGCATTTTTGTTTTGTTATGTTTTTCTTTGTTGTTATAGGATTATGGGGTGGGGGAAATCCTCAATAACTGTGAAAAAGATTCTGCTAATATTTATTTCCCCCTTTTTAACCAGGACCCACTAGAAATGAAATTCCCCACTATTTCTTATGCTGCTCTGGCACTAATGAAGGTGAGGAAAATACCTTGATGTTTGTTGTCATTTATTGGGGCTTATAAATACAATAGCATCTCATATGAGTCCTCATCCCTTACCGTGACCTTCAAATTTACTGCAAATTACCCCCCAAAATCCCTGTTAGATGGCCAATAAGGAAGATGGTAGGAAAAAGTGCAAGGATTAAAAGCAAGGTTTCAAATGGAATATTTAGATGTGATGCACGTCTGGTCTCAGAAATATATTCGCAACCAAGCGTGTCCTCAAATTGTTGCTGAAATGCAACTCATTCTTGTTTGTGCTGAATGAAGTTTTGGCAGTTGAACTTCAGCAACAAGTACAATTAGACTTGGAGAAGTGAGACAAATCTAAACAAGCACCCATTTCTGAAGCACCTAGAAAAACGCTGGCTGGTCAGTTGCTGGTAAGAGGAGGAAGATGCAAAGAAACGAGTCTTTTCTATTTTCAAACTTAGTGCGCGTGACCTTTGAGAATGGAAATCTCACATTGCCCTGAAAATATTTTTTTCTAACATAGGTAAAAATGTGAAAATAAATGTTTGTTGGAATGTGTTCCTCTTTGGAAATAAATTGCCTATTTGATAGCATTCTTTATAACATGGGTTCTGTTGATGATTGTATCTGAAATTTAATCACTGTTTTACTCTCTGCCAGAGAGAAATGAATTTCGTTTTCCTGAATGCTCTTTTGAATCCATAATTACATGTTAGTCGGTATGCATTTCAGTCTCCTGCTTGTATTGTCTCAGGGCTGTCTCCATATGGATCCCACTGAAAGGTTGACCTGCGAACAGCTCCTTCAGCATCCTTATTTTGACAGCATTCGGGAGGTGGAACTTGGGAGGGAACGAGAGAGATCCATTACACGGAAACCAAACCGGCCACCTAGAAGGCATGTGCCTGGGGTAAGAGATACTAGGCAGTGCAAACTACAGAAAATGAGCCGGGGTGGGCTTCAAATTTTTTTAGCAAAGGGTTCTCTGCCTTGGTTGCTGGGTGGCCGTGGGCATGGCCTAGTCGGCCTCCTGCACCACAGTGGGGTGGTAGTGGTGCTTTTTTCCCACCTCAGGCTCCAGAGGCTTTCGTTGAGCCTCCAGGAGGGAGAAAATGGCCTCCCTGGGCTCCAGAGGCTCTCTGGAAGCCAGAAACGGCCCATTTCTGGCCTTCCCAAACCTCCGGGAGGCCCGTTTTTCACCCTCCCCAAGCCTCTGTGCATGCCCTGCACTTACCTGCATCCAAAACGTGTTGCGCGGGGACTCCTGGGAGGGATGGGCGGGGCCAGACAGGAGTGGGATTTGGGGGTGCTCCAAACTGCACAGAATCTTAGCTAGGGGCTCTCCCGAACCCCTGTGAACCCCGCCAGCAGCCCACCCCTGAAATGAACCCCTCCCCCCTTGTTTGTGACTGTTACCTCACCTCTTTACTCCAATGTTCAAGACAATTTGACATTAAGAAATCAAAACCAAAGTGAAAACCTGTGTTTAGAATAATTAGCATTAGTAAAAACCTTTCAGAAGCCATCTCCCGTAACCATTTTCTTGAATACAATACTTGAGGAGTAGGGAGCCTCAGGATTCGGGTGTTGAATTTTTTTTTAGAAACTTGCATTGAAATAGGCTAATATGAAGGGCATATGCATGTCCTCCAGTGAATTATAATTTATACTTTTATCTTTCAGCTACAGTATCTTCCCCAATTAACCAGCAGCAAGATTTTACCTGCTTTGGATAACAAGAAGTACTACTGTGGAACAAGAAAACTCAACTACCGTTTCCCAAACATCTAAAAAAAGACAGCTGTCACAGCTAGTCCATTCTGTGTCTTGCGTTCCTAACTATGAAAATTTGGAAGACAATCACAGTATCTACACTGGCATCAGCTAAAACAAACCACGATGTTCTGGCTGAAAAGTGACAAACCTCGGAAAGGAAATATCTGTCAAACGTACAAACAGAAACACACACGCACACAAACAAAATGTGTCAACAAAAGGTTTGAAATAATGTATCAAAGTTCAGCAGGAAAATGGTATTTGGGCCTCTTGGAAAATTGTATCTCTAATTATCAAGCACTTGTAATTTATATTTTGTGAGGCAAGATTTCTTGCCTCTGCTGCAGCGGGAATTGGTGGAGGGGATCCACACATGCCAAATATATTTCATTCATAAAATCCCCCGGTTTCAAAGCAAGAGAGAGAAACTTTGGGTCTTATACTAGAGATGTAGTTAGTTTGCTTGGCAGGCTGAACCTGCAGATTCTTTGTGCAAGGGGGTGGAGGGTTGGCTTTGGAGGTGACAGACGAGAACCAGGAATGTCTGGATTCGAACTTTTTCTTTGTCGCTGTCTTCGCAACAAAATAAATAAAATGTAAAGAAGCTCTTCAATGAAATATTTTGTTTCTTTCCATTGCAATCAATATTACTTTTTACCTAGAACAGCTAGAAATAAAATAAAATTTTAATATGTATATTTTTTTCACAGGATTCGCTTAATTGTCTGAAATGGCATAGGTTTCCTGCCAAAGCAAGGGGTTGGACTAGAAGACCTCCAAGGTCCCTTCCAACTCTTTATTCTATTCTAACTTATTAAATATGCTCGCCAACATATTTTAAAGGCCACTTTCTAGCAAAACAAGAATCAGAGAAATGATGTGGCCTCTGGTGTTCAGCTTCAGAAACCTCATCATTAGTTATGCAATATTTATTATTGTGGGTTAGCATCCTCAAATTCCCCCATTATGTATAATAGGAAAGGAATCTTCCTCCCAAAAATTAATTCACGACACTTTTAATTATGACTGTATGGGCCAGCAATATCCATATCTATCCCATAATGTCAACTTTCCCCATAAAAACATGAAAGACCCTTAAGAACAGAGACTTATTTCTCATCTTTTCCATTCATTCTGGGATTCTGTATCTCACGCGAGGGGAGCATTAGAGCTTAAGGAGCAGATTCTGTGCCCCGCAGGCTTCTGTCTACAGCCTCCTCCTCTTAAGTCGGGCAAGGACTTCCACAATAACCATGGGCTGCTCATAGGGTCGTTTCACAGATTTAATAATGCAAATGATGCCACCTAGAATGGCCAGGATTTCATTCCAAGTCTAATTCCAGCTCAAGTGCCGGCATTGATTTCTTAAGGGACTGAATAGTTCTTTCCTTCTCTTGGATCCCTGGCAGGTCTCTCAGGAGCAAATATTCCAGGTTGCTGTTAGAAATTAAAGAACAGGAGAAGGAAAATTACCGTTAGCAAAATAGTTGCTCAGAGGCACAGAAAGCAAAAGGTACCCATTTAACAATGCTCACTAGTGTCATCAATACCTTATTTTAAATAGAATAAATGCTATGCCGCTCCCCCACCCTCCCCCAAATTTTAGAAGCATTTATACAGTTAAACTCATGTTCATGTGTAGTCCTCAACCTACGTCCATAATTGAATCCGACATTTCTATTGCTAAGCCACAGACAATTGTGAGTTTTGCCCCATTTTATGGCCTTTCTTGCCACAGTTATTAATTGAATCACTGCAGTCGCTATGTTAGTAAACACGATTGTTAAGTGAATTCCGACTTTGCTTATCAGAAAGTTGAAAAAGGTGATCGCGTGACCATGGTGCAGTGCCACGGTCATAAATATGAGTCAGTTGCCAATCATCCAAATTTTGATCCCATATTCACGGGGACACTGCAACGGTCATAAGTGGGAAAACAGCTATAGGTCACTTTTTTTAGAGCTGTTATAACTTTGAACAATCCCTAAACAAATGGTTGTAAGTTGAGGACGATCCATACATTAACTGAAGCAATTAACGTACTGTAAGCTTTCCAGCATAAACCAAGGCAAAAACATCTAGAGATGGTGGCCCCATCAGAATTCTAGACAGACACATGGATCCGTACACATGCTGTGAACAGTCTCTTAATTTCAACAGTATAGAACAGTGGTAGCTAACCTTTTTGGGCTCCCGTGCTGATAACTGCGCACGTGCTTGCCTGCTTGTGCTCACGTGCCATCACCTAGAAGGCAATGCACGCGCCCCCCCCATGCGTCCTGCGCATGTGCACGCAACCCGCGCTTCTGTGCATGCGACCCCCCCACGTGCCACATGTTGCACATGCACAAATGTGTCCTGCACTCCCCCGCACATGCATGCCAGATATCCAACAATCAGCTGTCAGGCGGGCGGTGCACGCACATGCGCAGTAGACCTTTTCTGGGTGAGTGCTTGCGTGCTGGCAGTAATGGCTCTGCGTGCCACTTCTGGCATGCATGCCATAGGTTCGCCACCATGGGTATAGAACATCTGTAGCTCAGGGTTGCACTGTGGGGCTCTTAGTTTTCTCTAAGCTGGGTTGTTTTCCTGCAAATGTAGGTTAGGTATCACCATGAGTGCACAGATCAGTGAAGACTGCTGGTTGTTTATACGTAACAAGTTTCCTACTATAGGTAGTTCTCAACTTACAACTGTTTGTTTAATAACAGTTCAAAGTTTATGGCAGCCTTGGAAAAAAATGACTTGTGACCTGTATTTGCACTTATGACCATCACACCACCCCCCGTTGTCACATCGTCATAATTCGGGCATTTGGAACAGGCTTGCGTTTACAACTGGTTGCAGCATCCCACGGTCAGGTCATTGCAAATAATGCCGATTGGGGAAGCTGGATTTGCTTAATAACTCTGTGATTTAATTAATGACCATCTGATTCACTTAATGACTGCTATGAAAATCGTAGCAATATCAGGTCCAACTGATTTTAGGACTGCAATGACGTAGGACAGAAATTCCAATTCTAATTGTGGTTGTAAGTCGAAGTCTACCTGTATGAAGGAAAATAACCAAGCTCAGAGAACACCAAGAGCTGTCTCTAATTTGTCTAGGCTGCAGGAGGGAACACAGCCCATACAATCAACATAACTACTTTATAAATTATAGAGGTGTCCTAATTGTGTTACATACCTGAGCTTATGCAATGCAATGATGCCTTTGTCTGTAACATTCCCACAAGAAATGAGAAACAAACGCAGCAGGCTTTTCTGCAGGCTTGGAGTCTCACTAATCCGTTGTAAGCATGCATCCTCAATGTATATGCACTTGCAAAACTTTATTTCTTCAAGATGCTTTAGACCATCTGAAATAGCATAATGTCTTTTGTTAAGGGAAGAGATGATTACAAAAAGCTTATTTGAAGAGCTTTTGCTCTTAGCCATATATTGACTAGACTCACATCATTTTAAGTCACAATTTAGTTTGCTTAATTTTAGTTCAATTTGTTGCATGAACTTGGATATTAAGAATTAAAAAAACTTAATTTAAAACTATTCCATAATATGGAACATGCTAAGTCACTATTTGTTTGCAAACCCAGCAATAACAATAGTAATAGCAAAGCTTCATTAAGTACAGTAAGTGGAGCCTTTCTACTGGCATTAGATAAAATCAAATCATTCTGATCCAGCGAAGTCACATATAATTCAGGATTACAATAATGAATTTGTGCCTTATATATTACATGGGGTGCAATTAAATATGCAAAGTCCCCTTCCCTTATAGTTTTATTTTCACAACTGTGGAGAAAATAGTTTTAACTTCTTATATAAATTTTTAAAAGGTTTTTTTTAGGAACCTTTGGTGAAAGTGATATACCTCTTCAAAGAAAGGACTATAACTCTGAGAAAATGACCCTGATCATTTTCTAGCATCTCTAGGATTTACAAGCTATTGCCAGTTAGAGACTTAGTTGGACCAATATTTTGACAAAACCAACAACTAATCAGGATTTTGTAAGTCCAGTTTCCTGATTTGTACAGAACTCTAAATCTTAATGGATGTATCATTAATATCATGTATTCTACAATCCAAACAAAATCGTATTCTGTTTTGCATTACTTGTAAGGCAAATATATTCCTAAACATAATCCTTCCTAACCTGGTAAGAACCAATTGTGCTTTGCTTGTGCTGGCTGGGCATTATAAGAATTGAAACCAAACTCATTTGGAAGGTAGCAGATCAGGGTAGGTTGCCTGATGTCTCAAAATTACTCTTGGTTATCCTGTGAAATAGGTAAAGGAAATTGTAAATGAAATAGGTAAAGGAAATTGTGTTATGGGGAGAGCGGGGATTGTCTTCCTGATTTCAGTAGATACCATCAAGATAACAGTGGTGCAAATGAAATAACTGCTATGCAATATTATTGAAGTGAACTGCCCTTAGGCAGATTTCACCACATGCAAAAGCAATACACCAAATAGGCTGTAGTTTCTATGATGTCCTTTGCACAATTCTTTAAAAAGGCAAGCTTCCTGTATCGGAGCAACACAAAGGGAATGAGCTGGCAGGCAAATAACACTTTATCAAACAATTTGTCTGGGAATATTTGCAGATTGAATTAGTTATATTAGGCTCCATAACATACCAAAATATTCAAATCCCTTGTTCATGATGCAAGATTCGGTGGCATTGATGGCTTGGATCTTATATTTCTCCAGCGGCCCCATAGGCAGTGTATTATAATCTTGTTGCCATTTGTCATAGCCATGGTAGCGCACCGACGCGCCACACCGAAGGAGCCACTCTGAAGCTGCTCTGTCTGGACCAACAGCCTGGATTCGTTCATGGTCAACTCTGGCAAGAAGGCATAACAATGAGTTCTTTCCACTACATGCAGTATCTTCAAATCAACATAAACGATGTAAAGGACCGCAGATTATACTAGTGTTTTGCAAATTGGCAGTTTTAACATGCTGGTTGGAGAATTCCAAGAGTTCAAGTCCACACATCTAAAAGTTGCCAAGTGTGAGAAAACTGGATTAAAGCTTCATTAAATACAGATAGTCCTCTATTTAAGACCATTCATTTAAAGATGGTTCAAAGTTATGACAGAAAAACGTGATTTATGAGCTGTCATCACACTTATGACCATTACACAACCCTCACCCTCCCATGGTCACACTGCAGTTCAGGTTCCTAGCAATTGGTTTGCATTTACAACCGGTTGTAATATCCTACGGTCATATGAATATAATTTTTGACCTACCCAGCCAGTTTCTGACAAAAGACATCAACTGGAAAAGCTGAATTTGTTTAAGAACCATATGACTGCCATAAAAATGATTGTAAAATCAAGTCTGGTCATGACTTGCTTTATGACTCTATCAACTAACAGAAATTCTTGTCCTAAGTGTGGTTGTAAGTTGAGGACTACAGTATGCATCTTTATTTAATGGACCGGCTTGAAATAAAAATTCTGGGGATATTTGATGATTAATGGGGATCGTGGCAGACAAGGAATTTATTTATTTTCCTGATGTGATCCTGAAGAAACTATCTCCCCTATATAACATTTGTTAATATCCTCTGTTGCTTAATGCTAAGAGCATTCAGATGAAATCCACTGTGCCCAAAAATAAGATTTCTCCCAATCAATACAATGCAAATTACAACTCTTTAGGGTTTTTAAACTAGTTTGACCAGTTCACTGGAATATTTATTTACTTATGTATTGCACTAATATTTCACCATAATCATAAAAAAACCCTTAGTGGCTCACAAGAGATAGCAAAAATAATTATAAAATACAAAAACATATAACCTGAAACAGCGTCTGCTGTCAATTCCCCTTCAACCCCATGGAAACACTTCATTTTCAGCAGTTTCTGGAAGGTCCCTCAAGTTGGGCCAATCAAACTTCCCACAGGAGGCTGTTCCAAAAGGTTGGCCCATAGATAAAAACTATATCTGGGCTTTGGCCCTCCTGACCTCTCAACCAGCTGCTTTTCTTAGCATGATTTTAGAAACTAGCTGTATTAGTTTATCTAATGTTAGGGTCAGCCTTACATTTGTACACTTTTGTGAAAGAAACCTACTTAAAAAATAAATGTGATGCGTTATTCATTAAGTAAATAATTGTGTAGGTCAGAGTGGAAAACAGCCTTGGGGGGAAAAAGGTTAAAGTTTTCCTATTAATAGACTCCTCTCCCAGCCAAAAGAAAGCTGAGAAGAATACTGCAGATTATATGTAACTTATAAATCATTTCCACCAGTAAGTGTGGGATTCATTCAGACAATAAAAAAGACATTTTAGTTTTTGGCTTAATATGCTATATGAATCCAGCCCTTGTGCTTTAAAAACCTTTTGTTTCTGGATTAATGCCAGTGGTGGGATTCAAATTATTTTACTACCGGTTCTGTGGGCATGGCTTGGTGGACTTGGCAGGGGAAGGATACTGTAAAATCTCCAGTCAGAGGTGATATTTGCTGGTTCTCTGAACTACTCAAAATTTCCGCTACCGTTTCTCCAGAACTGGTCAGAACCTGCCGAATACCACCTCAGATTAATGCGTTATGAGAACCAAGTTAATTGTAGCTAAATCCAATTATAAACAAACCATGATTTACATATATATAAACTCAATCTTAATTAGCTGTCTTGAATGCCCTTTGGTGAAAAGGTAATATATTCAATAAAAATAAAAATAACATAGAAGAGATATACCTTGGAAGTGTATGGAGGCAATTTTCAAATAAATACACATTCATTTAAGGTGAAAATATAGATGATAGATAGATAGATAGATAGATAGATAGATAGATAGATAGATAGATAGAT